TTCGTTGTTACAGGAATCGGTTCAGTAATTATGACACAGATTTTAAAATTAGTATATCATGAAAAGTGAGAAGAAACATTTCGTAATTTAAGAAACGTATTTCGAAATTAGAGTAAAAGTTTCTAGCGATTTCAAGGATTACAGCTGAAAAACACAAGTTGGATAAAACCGAGTGGATAGAGCCACTAAACACTTGTAAACACTTAGTCGTGAGTTCGCACCTCGCTAAGCTGCTGGCTAAGTGAACATTTCTGACACCTAAATAGGAGTAGTTTCTCATAGGGGAGACAGATCATAAAGAGCTAAATGGCTAAGTTTTCTAATTCATAGTAACAAACTTTCAAGACAAGAAAGGAGCTCACCGTTACTGCCAAGACAGGTTATAGTGATGTGTATATTGTTCTAAATCTGTACTTTTTCACTCTCGTTTCTTTTTGTATACCTTTCCGTATGTCTATTGAAGGAAGAACTTATTCTCTATGTTTATTAAATACCTATAGACAGTAGTTTTAATGACAGTAAAATTCTATGCAGTTTCCAGTGCTTTAACACTATTTTCAGGAATTTGTAATAAAATTTTAATTTAATCAATCGATTTTCTTCGATTTCCTACCGTAATTAAACCCACTATCAGATAAGGAGTGAGGTGATTGTCTTTCAAAGTTTGGGTGCAGGAGTCTATATGTCGCAGAACGAAGCTCAGTTTTTATCATTGAAGAAAACGTGCATTGTTTTTTATATATACACTTCAATTTGCTTTCTACACAGAAATTCAAAATAAGATTACATTTTGCATACGCTTATGAGGTACTTCATAAAAGCATACACCATTATTTTTCCGGCTGATATATATAACAGATGGAAGTATGGCGATCGGTCGAAGAATGAATCTCCAACCAAGATTTTTACAATTTTGAAGGACCCTGAAACGTCGAGAAATGCAAAAAATTCGGGGATAATTTTTTTATGTATAAATGTTAGTGTGTGGGGAGCACGATTTTGTTCATGCTCTTTGAAGCTTAATAACTCCTATGCTTTTCGTCGGAAATTTCTGAAATTTTGAAGGGAGGTTTGTGTATTAGGGAGATTGATGCTATTAAATTTTGGTGATTAAAGGTCGAGGATTAGGGAGATAATGGGGGTCGTATATATCTCCAGTAGTGTCGGATTTAATGACGATTTTACTCATTATTAGCATTTACAGTTTTTTATAAAACCCATCCCTATCCTCATAATGAAGATTTTTTGCCATTTTATAATAGTTAAAATTATAAAAAGCTTTTAAAATAAAATATGATAACAGATGACACCATTAAAATTTTAAATGTTGCCGGGAAAGTTGAGCAACTCGTTGCTGGTTTATTCTAAAAATGCTTTCCGTTTTTATTTAAAAGAAACTTCAAAGTGCTTAAACGTTTCAAAATATTGAAATCTGTTCATTAATATTCACAATCATCGGCCATTTTCGTTTTGTTTTACAATCGCGTGCCATTAATTCGTAACAATTAGCATATTAGTTGAATTGTTTCCTCTAATCACCAAATATGTGCGTCTTATTACACAAAGCGTGCTCTTTCCTGATGAACATTCCTGTAATATCGCAATCGTGCCATCCATTTTTAAAATAATGGCTTAATATTTTTGAAATTTAGGAAATGTTTCCAACATTTTGGAAAACGTGGACTATTTCTCTCAAAGTTTAGATGAATTTCTATCAGCGGCCTATCAGAGGTCGCGTGTAAAGGTGCTCAAGTCTCACCAACAGGCTTGACACGTGGCATTTTCCGGGGTTTTTTCACCCAAATAGGAACCAATTATCCCATAGAAAGTCCTCTTGTAATGCACTGGATTCCGGGTCCTCCAGATGGTTGGCTGATACCATAACCATCTCGCACTTCCAACATCCAACCGTGTAATCTATTTATAGCGTGGCACATGTTGCCAACATTAGAAAATAAAATTAAGCTGCATTGTTGCCGACATGTTTGTTTCATTATCAGACCAATTCTTAAATTAAATTATATTTTATAATAAATTGATTAATTTATTCAACATTTAAAAAACTATATTAAATATCTGAAACTACAAGATCATTATCATTAATTATTAAAAATTTCTTTGGATATTATAGTGAATTTGGGTCATTTCTCATGTTTCAAACCTGATCAGAATCGTGTTGAGTGATACTCGAGACTGTTTATACAAATATACAAACGTTCTGCTTATTTATGGGTTTAAAATTATTTAAATTATTCTTTACTAATATATGTCTTCCCAAGTAATTGAAGGTTTTAATATTATTTTAAAGGTTTAAAATGGGAGAAGAAAAGAATATATTCTGTCTTAAAATTAATGAAATATTTTCTAATTTTTAAAAAATTGTGATAATTTAATTATGTAATTAACCATTTAACAGCTAGATTTATCATAAAAAATATTTATCTGGAAAAGTTTCATTAGAATTTCTTAAATCATTTACTTGTTAAATTGATACTTCATCGAAGAATTCTCTTTAACTTTATATACTTTTATTGAATTTATTCTTGATAAAATTTTGAAGTCGAACTTGATACTTAGCTCGTGATATACAGAAAGCATCAGAGTGAATGTCCTTCTCTAAAAATACTTTTATAAATCTACTAAAAACATGATCAATTTATCTTATGATATGACTGACGTTATAGATTTTCTCAAAAAACTTAATCCATTTTTATACTTACTTCGTGTCAATCACGATTTCCAATAAAGATAACGACTAAATAAAAATATAAAAATTTCGTAGGTTTATTTTCAACTTTAAAAGAAAAATATGTGTAATTGATTTAAAATTGCATATAGTTTTTTTTAAGTAATTGAATTTTTATTTTTTCCCCTGCTGTTATATATAACAGAGGGAAAGTATGGCCATCAGTCAAAAAATTACTCCCAAGATTTTTACATTTTTTAGCTCAGAATGGCTTGAAACGTCGAGAAATGCAATAACCCCAGAATGGGGTTATTGCTGTATATATGAATGTTAGCGTGTGTATGTGTGGGGCACGATTTTGTTCACTCTCTTTGAAGCTTAATAACTCCTGTGCTTTCTGTCGAACATTTCTGAAATTTTGCGGGGAAGTTTCGTTTATTAAAGTGATTGATACTATTATATTTTGGTGATTGAAGATCGAGGGGGTGGGAAGATAAAGGGGGTTCATATGTATCACCGATTAGGGTCGATTAGCATTTATAATTTTTTATAAAACCCATCCCTACCCTCAAAATTAAGGTTTTTACCATTTTATAATAGTTAAAAATATAAAATAGTTTTTAATAAAATATCATAACAGATGGCACCACATATAATTTAACTCTTCCTGAGAAAGTTATACAACTCATTGCTATATTTTTTTTATTCATGTTCTTATGTGTTAGCTGTGTGAAGTTAGTAAATGGTAATGTATAGAAGATATCAGTAAATAAATTAACATATTTTCCACACATCTTAACGTATTTTCTGTACTACTATACATGTACAGTACGGTACTTGTATGGTATATCTGTTCAAAGTATAACGTATAGCGTATGTTCAATAGAATCATTGTACATTGTACTCATTACTTTTACATATATATTAATTATGTCCTATAATATACAGAATGTGTGTAATAGAACAATCAATTGTACACCTATATTTCTGCGCAAAAATATTATATCATTTATAACGTTCAGAATGTGTTTAATGAGAAGATGTACTGTACATACTCTAAACTTCTATAGATGTAATTGTACATTTCCTATAATGAATTTCTTCTGTAATATGTAGAATATTTTACATTTTATGTACATTATCTACTGTATATCTTCTACACGTTAAATGCTGTAAGTTTTACTTTATAAAGTTTTTACATCTTCTATAAAATTTATTATTATAAAAAGTAAATTCGATTCGATAGAAAAATATTTAAAATTTGCTATTTCAATATTCTATTTATTAAAGTTCTCTATTTTAAGGAAATATTGTATTGAAAATGTTCAAATGTATCAAAAAAATAATAAAAAATAAATAAAATCAAAACACAATTTCGATCAGACGAAAATCAGAAAAAAATTTGTATGAATTATGTATTCAATTTATTGATTTATTATAAATTCTGAATATTGAAAAATTTAACTCGTTTGTTTAAATGTAAATCGACGTTGTAAAGAAAAACAAATTGATTTTTTTTGTTTGCTTTAAAAACAACTTTATAAAATTTCGTTAACTTTATAAAATCACTCGCTGTTGTTTTTCTTTTAATATAGAAATAACTTAGGAAATTCTCGTTTATTTCATCTATTTTGTAAGTCTTATAATGATCAAGCAATATAATAGTTAAAATAAATTTAATTAAAAATACTATTTTTCTTTCTTAAATTACCTAATATATTTAATTTTTAGTTTAGAAAATCATTTAATAACTTTTGTGATGATGCAGAATCCTTAAGTTCTTCCGCATCACTAGCAGAGAACTTATGCAAGTTACGTGGATTTCAACACTTAACACGTATCGAATTTAATTAAATACATTAAAAAGAAGAAATTTTATACTAAAAAAATTACAAAATGTGTATTATATATACAGAAATCTTATGAAGTAAAATGAAATCACTAATTATAATTTACTTCTCTAAGCATCTTAAAGCATATAATTACAGAGATGAAATGCGGTATTAGAGTAGAAGATTCAAATAAATTGTATTTTATAATTATTTTAATTAATAAAAATGCAAAAATATATATTTATTAAGTAAAAATATATAAAACTCAGTACACTTTTACTTATATTCATAATTTTTATGTAAGGGTTTTTTGGTGAACTTATCTCTAAATGGTCGTGCATTTCACTTATATGAAAATGTAAAAATATGTTCAGTACATTTGTGATACAGTACATTGTATTTATGTGACACAAAATTTGCAAGTTTTTCTTTTTTTTTCAGTGTAAAAAATATATTAATATTTTATAAATTTCAATACTCACTGGCACATTTTTCATTATTGAATCCACATGTTGGTTCGTCAACTGGTGGTTTTCCATTAACCCAATCAATTGTATCTATAAGTTTCAAAATCTAAAATTAAAAAAAAGTATAAAAATATCGATTAGAAAATAAATTATAGTACAAAATATTCAAATATTTCTTCTTCAAATATATGCAATAAACAGAAAAAAAAATTACATAAATTAAATGTTTTACTGAATACGTATAAGGCAACAAGTTAAATCTATATCAAACTACTGTATTTATATTTATTTAATAAGTAATAATTTAAGTTTGAAAAAGGAAAACTTGAAAATAAAAATTAAAATGATATTGATACCTTTGAAACCCAGAGAAATTAAAAAAAAAACAAAACAATTCGGTGATTTTTCCTGTATATACAGTACAATGTTTTTGTGTGGGAGCGCGATTTCGTTCAACCAATTTGAAGTTTAATAACTCCTGTGTGTTTTGTCGAGAATTTCTGAAATTTTGTAGAGATGTTTATGTATTAGGGAATCGATGCCGTCTAAATTTTGGTGGTTTTATAAAGGTCGAAGGAGTGGGGAAATAGAAAGGTCATGTGTACACTTATAGTGGGATTGGACTTAATGAAGATTTTACTTGTTAGTAGCATTTGCCATTTTTTTTTATAAAACTCATCTATACCTCATAATTAAGCTTTGCCATTATATAAAATTTAATAATATAAAAATATTTTTAAATTTAGTACTTTTTCATACCAATGATTTTAATGCTATTAATCCAACTAATTTGTTCTATGGCCAAGCAATAAGGGGCGTAACTATCATCTTGAAAGATCCGATCTTCATGAGTTTTCATATTTCCTTTATGATAAAGTGTTGTTGTTCTTTACATCTTGTAATTTAGTATATTAATGTTAATAATAACGACCTTTCTATCTTTAAAATAGCAAGAGATAGACAGGAGTAACGAATTTTAAAGCCCACTTTTTGACTTTAATTTATTATTTCTAATCGATTTTGATGCGAATTAGCGCTAGACAGCCACTAATTAAACACAAAGAGGATAAATGAATTGATAGAATGGAAATTCAAGATAATAAACCTTATTAAGATAGATAATAATCATCAATACATTAATTAAAGAGAATGAATTAACGAGATTCTCTTGTGGAAGGCTTTCAACGAAAGAAAATTTATTAAAGCTAATTTCAAGAAGAAAACATCATAAAAACAAATCATCGTGTATTAATATGTATCTTTAAAGAATATTTTTTAGAATGAATGATGATAAGTATTTATGTTCTTAAAGATGTCTTCGGACTCCAGACTTTATAAATCTATTGTCTTATCCAGACTTATAAATCTATACAGAAAATATGTACTAATCATTGTCAACTGGTAAAAAATGGTTTAAATTTCTTCTTATTGAACTGAATAAAATCTAATTCCCAATAAAAGATTTGAAATTTTTCTGAAACGAAGGAAATCGTGTAATGTCAAAGTCGATTGAAAGCTGATGAACTTTCAACATTCTTTTCTTGACAGAATTTTTTCGTTATCTCACACAAAACATGATTAATGTTTAATATCAACAACCTCTTCATAATTACAAAATAGTAAAATTTCAATCACACCTATTTATTTCGTCATTTGAGTGGAAACAGAATGTCATTAATTTTCCTTTATTACATGGCCGATATTTTGATCGACTGCAGTATTAAGTTAAACTTATCGTGTTTTAGCAATTGTTTCCTAAATTTAATAATCTCCTACATTATAGAATTGAAGAAACTTCAATCAAATTTATGAAACTAAAGATTTATATCATTGGTAATTGGAGAAAAGAGAGAAAGAATTATTAATGTCCTAAATAATTTACTCATTTACGAAAGAAGTATCTAAAACTAAATAATATATATATATTACAGAAGTATGGGTGTATTATAATTAAATCCACAGTTGGAAATTATATGTTAATTGTAGTTAATGAACAAAAACATTTGTTAATAAAATGCTAATTTTAGTCACTTTGCCTTATTTAATTAATAACCATTAATAAATTGATAAATAATATATTCTGAATCATTTTTATTGATCTACGAGTTTAGCACTTACTATATAAATATATTTTAAAAAATTCTTTTATTAAATTCGTTAACCCGAGAGATGAATGTACACTTCTGTAGATCATGCCACCATTATTGAAATTCGTGTCTTATACATAACTGAAGAAAATATAAAATTAATTTCCGAGCATTGTTTAAATTACAATTCTTGTTCAAAAAGTGTGCAAAAGATTCCACGCTTTAATAAACAGAAAGAAAATTTAATTATAATCAATGACGCGAAGAAATAACCATAGAAAAAAAAGAAACCAGCGATGAAATTTTTTTCTGAGAAGAAATAAGAATAATTTTCTTACGGCTGATATAATTATAAAAATCATATTAAAATAATATTCTTCATCCTCTTTTGATTTATATTTTTTTCACATTTTTTTTTAACGGAAATAGTCATAAATGCATTAAAGTAGTAAATTAGTGTTTTATTACATTTTCCAATCTTAAATCACTGGTAAATTATGTAATTATTTTTAAAAAGCAAAGAGATAGATGCGGTAACACAATATTTATATTTTTAGAGTGTACGTTTGGTATCAGAAACAAACAAATACAAGCGATATGTAAGTCATCAATAAGTAACAATTTGCATTGTCAAAGTCACTATTAATCTAAACGGTCCTTAAAATTATATTCTTAAAACATGTGACAACGCCTGGATGAAAATTTTTGCCAATTGGTCCATTATTTTTTAAATATTAAATAAAATTTGAGTCCCTTCTAAACACTACTCAGTTCATCGTTTCTTCGTTTTCTCTAATTCTACTTGATGTACAAAGATTAATTATATTTATTTTTTTATTTTTTAGCTTTCTACACTTATAAAAGTATTTCTCGTACATAGCACGCATTTAACTTGAATTTTTATGACATGATTATAATTTATTTTATAAATCAATATTTTATATCGATTTATAAAATAAATTATTACGTACAAAGTTGTATTTTCTTCCTAAACAAGTGTTAAAAAATACAAAAAACTGTCAAAAAGTATGAATTAATTGTTAATTTTGTAGTTTTTTAAACACTTTCTACGTCAAAATTGTTATACAATGTCAAAACTTACATATATTTGATTCCTCCACTTCTACAATTAAAATTTTCAGTTCGTTAAAAAATTTTACAAATAAAAATTATGATTAATGTCAATAAAATTTTTAAGTAAATTATTTTTTCGATGTAACTTAATACTTTTAATGGAGCACGTCTAAACATAATACATCTTTTTCGAAATAGTAAGATTCTTTACACTACTTTAAAGATTCAATATCAAATTGAACACGCATTCAAATCTAACAGTAACCAAAGAATGTGTGATATTAGGTAAAAAAATAAATAAAAAATATCATTGATATTCTCATTAGAAAAAACTCTCTCTGTTGAATTCAACCAGCGGAGGAATGGATAAAACCACCAAACATTGGTCGTGGGTTAGTTAGTGCCTGATCAATGGGCTGGCTACGTGTAGTTTTTCGAGTTTTCTTCATGTTTGTAACACCTAGATATAGACAAGTTTCCCATAAAAGTTATCCCCTCGGTAAATCGCACATGTGTGGGATTGCGGTGTACGAATAAATCAACTAAACTTTCAATGTGCAACGTTACTCTAAAGACGAACAGAAGGCTCAAAATACTTCTACTTATTCATTCCCACGTTTCTCTCTTCTCCTTCTTTCTTCTTCTTTTTTCTTCTGAAATTCACTGACCATTGACTTTTACTTTTCTCCTAATCGTCTGTCTAACGTCTGATGATTAGTCGGAATCCGCATTCCACGGGCTTATCTGCACGTAATCAACTTTGGGAGAAAAAAAGAAAAGAAAACAACAGCAAAATGTTTAAAAATTTTAAACTAATTTTGGTCCCACATATATGTGTAAGATTTGAATTTTTAACTGGTCCTCCGCGGAAAGCAGAACGCCTAAAGATTCGTTTGGACAAAGATGTCGGCCATATTTTAGTAATTTTTGTTTTATTATTTTCCTGTTTATTTTTTCTAACAACGCTTATTTTTTCATGCATGTATGTAGAAAGAGAGAGAAATTGTAATGAAGAGCAAAATGATACGTAAATCAAATTGTTCGTACGATGTCCCAATATTGTCTAGAGTTGGAGAATTCCTCTTGGTCATTTCATCTATTTACCATAAAATCATGAGAGCATTTACCATAGAAGATGAAAAAATGACTAGGATTGGCCAGATATACTACAAAAAATTCATTGTTTGTATACAGGATGGCCATTTTAATCAATCCTCCGAAATAATAACTCGAAAAATATGCATCCTGAAAAAATCACTGAACCAAATGTGTTAGACTTTAATAAGACCACAAGAGAAGAGTAAAAATTTCATCATAGATGGAGCTACAATCGGTGGGGAAAAAGGGGCCAACTTTATTTTCATAAGTGGGAACTCCCATCTTTTATTAATCTACATAAAAAAAAAACAGACAAACGTTTATCTGGAAGAATTTTTTCCGAAAGATGCACTTTTCAGAAGTTATGCTAAACAAATTACTAGGAAACTATTATTTGATGACCATTCATTTTCTTCAAATAATAAACTGATACAAAATTTCGTGTCTCGTTGCGTTAAAGCCATCAAGCTTCTGATAAAAAGAAAACATTTTAAGCGAGTCACCTTAAATTTACTCAAGACATTTTTCGTGTTGATTAAACTATTAAAGGTGTAATTAATTAACGTGATTCCCCGTCGCTTCTCACAGTTTTCTCCTATTACAAACGACGTTCTTAAGTCAATTCTCTGTTGAAAATGTCAGTTTTTAGTAACATGTTCTGTGATGTCTGTACAAGCTGTTAAAATTCTCCTTATTATATCTTCACTAGTTGCTTCCTGTTCATAGGCAACATTCTTTAAATATTCCCACAAATAAAAGTCAGGCAAACGTCCAGCGATCGCGCTTGCCATTGTACTGGGCCACGTCAATTTTCTTTTTTTTTCATTCAACTTCACAGATATGCAAT